CTCTGATTTGTGCCTCTTATGCTGGGGCAGTGGGAGAGGGGAGTGTCCTTTCCCTTTCCAGCTCTGGCCTCCTTGAAAGTTCAGTGTACCCAATCCAAGTCAGGTTTAAGGTGTACAGCTTTCAGTGTTCTCTGGGTTTGTTTTTTATTTGTTTATTTCTCCAGAGCCTTTGCACCTTCTGCTTTCTGATTTTTCTTGCCTCCTGGTTTTGGAAGCATCTCACAATTGTTTGTATCTGGTTGTTGGGCCAGCCTGAAGCCTCCTCTAGATCTGGAGCCAGGCCAAGCAGGGGCCATGTATATGGGAGGGCACTCAGCAGTTCAGGAGCCCAGAGTCAGCCACTACAAGATTCTTGCTGAGCTTTGGGCTGTTGGCAGCATCCTGGACCTCATGCTTGGGCCTGAATGAGGCTCCTTCTTCTTAAGTGTTTTTACAAGTTAGTGTTTTATTTATGGAGTGACTTATCCCTTCCATTCAGAGCTGCCCCACCCGGCCATGTCCTCAGCCTCTGGGCTTCTGCCTCCTAAAAGCAGAGCCGCCTGGCTGTTCCCCACCCCTGTGTTGGGAGCCCAGCCACCATGCTCACGGGTATTTTTTCTCATAATGTTTGTAAGCAGTTATTTTTATGAATCTTTGTTATGTCAACTTGTTTGTATTGACTATTTTCATTATAAAATAAAATATCTTAAACGCCTTAGTTTTCCATGGCCTTCCATCACCACCACCACCCTTCCTCATTCCTCACTTCGGCTTATTGGAGCCCAAAGCTGAGTATTTAGCAAGATCCTCTGGCATCAGCAAGGAGGGACCTTTGGTTGATCCAACCTCATGTCGGTATCTCTACCATTTCTGTTCCTCTGTTCTACGTAAGTGCAAGTAAGATCTCCTCCCACACCACTTTCTGTTGGGCAAAGCTGCCCTGAGTCATAGAGCAAATTTGTCACTGGAGTTTCAGCAATCCCCTCAGGAAGTCAGCTGCTTCTGGGTTGCTGTTTGCAACTCAGACAGCAAGTGGTCTCCTTCTGGGCCATTTACCTATCTGAGCCCTAGACCTGGGGGGACTTCTTTTTTTTTTTTTTTGAGACAGAGCCTCAAGCTGTCCCCCTGGGTAGAGTGCTGTGGCGTCACAGCTCACAACAACCTCCAGCTATTGGGCTTAAGCAATTCTCTTGCCTCAGTCTCCCGAGTACCTGGGACCACAGGCGCCTGCCACAACACCCAGCGGCTATTTTGTTGTTGGAGTTTGGCTGAAGCTGGGGCCAGGTTCCAACCCACCACCCTCGGTATATGGGGCCGGCGCCCTACTCACTGAACCACAGGTGCCACCCAGGGGACTTTTTTTTTTTTTTTTTTTTGAGCTATAATCCCCTCTGTTACCCTGGCTGGAGCCCAATCATAGTTCATTGTAACCTCGAATTCCTGGGTTTAAGGGGTCTTGCCCCTGTCAGCCTCCCAAGTAGCTGGGGCTATAGGAACATACCACCACACCTGGCTTTTTTTTTTTTTTTTTAATTTTTGTAGAAAGGTCTCACTTTGTTGCCTAGGCTGGTCTCAAGGGATCTCTCCCCTTAAGTGCTGGGATTACTGGTTGGAGTCACTGGCCTGGCCCTGAGGGGACTTTTGAGAAGCATTGTATCTAACACCAGACAGATAGCTGTCTTCAAAGTTGCCAGCATCTGCACCCTCTGAAGCCCTGAATTCTTGCTGGCAACTAGTGGCACTTTTTTTTTTTTTTCCTTTTTGAGACAGAGCCTCAAGCTGTCCCCCTGGGTAAAGTGCCGTGGCATTACAGCTCACAGCAACCTCCAACTCCTGGGCTCAAGCGAGTCTCCTGCCTCCGCCTCCCAAGTAGCTGGGACCACAGGCGCCCGCCACAACGCCCGGCTATTTTTTGGTTGCAGCCGTCATTGTTGTTTGGCGGGTCCGGGCTGGGGATTCGAACCCGCCACCTTAGGTGTACGTGGCTGGCGCCTTAGCCGGTTGAGCTATAGGTGCCGAGCCACTAGTGGCACTTTTGAAATGCCATTTGCAGCATCAAATTGGGGTTGAGCTGGGGTTACTCCCAAAACAGTAGTGGGTCTTTAACAAGGGCCAGCGTAAACCCAGGCTCTCAGTCCTGACACCAACCTCTCCAAGTTTTTCAGAGCTATCAGCCTCTCACTTTGGTCTCCATCTGGCTCCTTGAGGGTGTGGCCTCTGACTCCTGCCATCACTCTTCCTTATCTAAACCTGCCTGAGTGGAGAGGAACTTTAGGGAAAATCCCTAAGCATGGGCTGCTTCTGCTTTGGTATGCTTCCCATTCACCAGGATCAATGGTGTGTCTGTTGTGTGTGTGTGTAGGGGTCTCCCTGGGAGCAAGGTTTCCTACTTTGACACCTTTGAGTTTGAAAACAGCCCAAGCCTTCCAAAACCCCGAGTTTTTATGGCACCTCCTTCCGGGAGACTAAGGGTGGGGAGCTGGATGCACCAAACCTGGGTGAGGCTGGGTAGGAGGTCTTTGCCAGACCCTCGCCCCTCCCGCCCGACCTTTCTTGCCGGTTAGTCCCTCCCCAGCCATCACGTTATGAGCCCTAGACAAGAAGGGCTGAAGGGGGGACTGTGCAGCTGCAGAAAGGGCGGTTCTGCGTGGGACGGGTCCTCTGCCTGCCTGGCCACAGAAGAGGAAGGGAGGGGGCCACTGGCGTGAGGGGCGGTGTCGCGCAGGCCCCGCCCTGCCTGTCCGTACCGCCCATTGGTCCCGACTGCTGTGACTCGCGGGCGGAGCAGGAAGGAAACCGCTCCCGAGCGCGGCGGCGGCGTCGTCGTCTCCCGGCACTGCAGCTACCGCTCCCACTTCCCCTCCTCACGTCCGTCTGCCCGCAGCATGAGCGGCCTGCGCGTCTACAGCACGTCGGTCACCGGCTCCCGTGAAGTAAGTGCGCGCCCAGGCTGGCGCTGGGGGAGAGCACAGGGCTGTGTTCCGGAGCTCGGGACCCGCCCCCAGGACAGGGGCGGGGCGGGGGGCCGTGAAGTGCTGGGTTCGGCCTCTCCACTCGGGGCTCGGCGGCCACATCCCCAGCGTCTTCATTGGGCGTCCTGGGTCCTCAGCAGCCGCAGCTTGAACTGCCTGCGCCCATCCCCCATCCATCGGGCACCCATTCTCTGCACCCCACTACCAGGCTGACCCTGACTATGACCTCATCCTGCTGTTTCGTTTCTCCCTCGTGGATCTGGGGGTGGGGGGCGCTTACCAGCCCCCACTCAGGCCTGTCCTTCCTTGTCCTCGCTGAGTTTTATTCCACTTCCCTTCGTTCTGAAGGCTGATGGTCCCTCTCTTCATCCTGCACTACCTCAAGCCTGACTCACTTTCCCACCTTCTAGTGGCCAGAACCCTCTTCTAGAGTGTATGTGGGAGAGGAGGGGAGGGGAACAAAAAGTTGCTGGTCACAGCCTCTTTCACATTGCCCAGGGTTCCCCCATAAATCCTGCAACCCATCCACTAACCCTGGCCCACCCTCTGCCCCCAGATCAAGTCCCAGCAGAGCGAGGTGACCCGCATCCTGGATGGGAAGCGCATTCAATACCAACTAGTGGACATCTCCCAGGACAACGCCCTGCGGGAAGAGATGCGAGCCTTGGCAGGCAACCCTAAGGCCACCCCGCCCCAGATTGTCAATGGGGACCAGTACTGTGGGGTATGAGCTGGGGGACTGGGGGTGGGTAGAGTGTTGTAGGAGGACTCCAGCCAGGGTCAGACCTGTGACAAAGCACTTGGGCCACCTGCACCTGCAGTCAGGTGGCTGACTGCCCCTTCCTTCCCCTCCCACAGGACTATGAGCTCTTCGTGGAGGCTGTGGAACAAAACACGCTGCAGGAGTTCCTGAAGCTGGCCTGAATCAGGCCAGCCTGCAGATTCCCCACTGGACTCCCATGTCACCATGTTCTCCCCACGGCCTTCACTTGGCCATGAATGACCTAGTGACCAACTCCCTGCCATTCCTAACCTTCTGACCTCAGTCCCTCCCTTGCAACCCAGGCCCCTTCTCCACTCTCTAACTGTAGCCCCCTCTTCTCCATTCAAAGGCAACATTCCTTACCCACGTAGTCTCAGAAATTGTCTTAAATAGCAGCCCCAAATGCTGGCTGTTCCCAGCCAGGCTTTGGGACTGCTACCCTGCCTGGCACTAGCTGATGGGCACCACTGTTGGTTCCATTAGCCAGAGCTCTGCCAAAGGCCCCGCAACACCCCCCCAACAGGAGCACCCTAGAGACAATTAAATGCCCATTCCACTGGCACTGTGTCTGTCTGGTTGTGGCCTGGGCTTCCTGGGTCCCTGCTCTGGTAGTTGCTAGTTGTGATTGTGCTTAGGCTGTGCTGAGCTATCCTCATGGGAGTCACCTCTGTGTGTTACTGCACATTTGGATATGTCTGGCACACACATCCCTGTGTGGACCAGTGGTTTCTGGAGACAGCCTGAGTGGGCTAGCCTGCAGTTCACATGCGTGTGACGGTGTCCCTGTCACTCTTGTACCTTGGTATGTACTGCACATTTGTGTGAGTGTGGCCATCCTTGTGCCTGCCTACCTGTGTTGGAGCATATTGGCTCAGTGTGGATATGTCCTGGGAACAACTGGGTGCACAGATGCAGTCCTGCCAATTTGGGGGCATGGATGTTATCTGTGGCAATGGCTTTCTGCACAGCAATGGTGTCCCCATGAGCTGTGGGTCTGTGCATAACTATGCACAGGTATCTGCTGGCTCCATGTTTGCACAGTAAGGCTTTGCTGTAGCCCGCTCTTTCCCGCCACTGGATTCCTATCCCCCATAGCAGGATCCTCTTAGCCCTTCTTGGAAGAAAGAGGAACCTAGAGGACAAAGAACCTGAGGCCAGGCCCGCCAGCTGGGGCTCAAGTTACTGAGGGGCGGGTTGGCACCGCCCCCTCCCTGGCCCAGCTGGTCCTTCCTCCGGCCCTCCAGCGCCCAGAGAGAAGGCCCCACCAAGAGAGCCTTCCACCAGAGCACAGGGGGTGGGCTCTTTATTCCGAGCTGGAGCCGGAACCAGGACCAAAGCTGGGGTCAGACTGTGAGGCTGGGAACGCCCGCAGGAGCAGTGCCGCATTGGGCACAAGGCCTGCAGCTTGCAACGTGAGCCTGTCATCACGGTAGACCCTCGGTGGGAATGTGCTGAAGATCTCAAAGGCGGTGGCATCCATGGCCCTAGGAACCAGGCAGAGCAGATCAGGCCCAGCTGTGGGACCAGAGCACCCCACTGCAGCCCTTGGCCTGCCCCACCCTGCACCCACCTGGCCTGTGCTAGCAGGGCACGCACATCCCCGATGGTGTCCTCAGGCCGCATCATCAGGAGAAAGGCCTGCTCCCCGTTCTCAGACTTGATGCGCAGCATGGAGAGTGGGGGCGCTGGTGTATCAGGCGAATCCTGGCTCCTGCACAGCCCAGAGGCCATCAGTGCTCCCGTGGCCCAACCCCCCAGGCCCTCACCTCTCTGCCCTGCCCTCACCTCTCCCGCTCAGCCACCAGGGTAGGTGTCTCCACCACGATCTCCTGGACTGGGACAGGCAATGGGCAGCAGTTCTGGAAGGCATCAATAGAATGGACAGGACCCTGGACCCTGCCTGATCATCCCCCACAACCCTTAGAAGGGGCTCATACTTGACCAGGGGTAAATGAGACCAATGAGGCAAGTGTATAGGGAGGGTTTCTGTGTAAACTGAGGCCCAAAAAGAGGTAATGGAAGGGGAAGGAGTCTGGGGGAGGTAGCTGCAGCATTCTCCCCAAGCTGCCTCCTTCCTCTCAGTCTAATGGGGGAGATGGAACCACACACACACACAGACTGTGACTAGGGTCTGTTAAGGCTTAGCCTAGGGTCAGTTAAGGCTTCTCTAGGAAAATGGCAATGGAGCTGTGACTGAAGGATGAACAGGAAGGGACCTTGGAATGGGTGCAGGGATGTTCCAGAGAGCATAGACAAATCCTGGGGTCAGGAGAAGCTTCCTAGAGGAAACTGCCAGCAAATATATGGCTGAAGCTGGGGATTGGGCTGGACTGAAAGAAAGAAAAGGTTAAGGAGCAACCCTGCAATATAGGCCAGGCCTTGAGTGCCAGGATGAGGAACTTGGCTTTATCCCAAAGAACTGCTGGGGGATTTCAATGGGGGAGGCAACTGGGGAGGATGACTGGCAGGGGCATGAGTGGAACTGGGAAGCATCTCTGGAAAAAGATACTCTGGAGCCTAGGCTAGAGGGGTGGGCCATGGGAAGGGGAGAAGTTCTGAGGGTGGACAGAACAGATAGGACTTAGCAATGTGGGGTGAGGGAATCAGAGGAGGTCTAAGAAATAAAGGTTTGGTACCTTTCACAGGCAGAGGCATAGGTGGAGGGCAGAATGGGGAATAAGGAGAGATGATGAGTCGTGAGGGCCAGCAGGATAAGTAGAAAGGGGCACCTGGGACTGAACAAAGATTCTGGCCTGGACCTGAGGGGGTGACCTGGACTCTGACTTTACACTTCTTATAGCCAACTCAGCTACTCTCTGGGGCCCAGCCCAGAGCCCTCACCAACTCCTCAGTTTCCAGAGACAGTGGAACAACTCTGAGGGACTCCTCTCTCCATCCGAGCCCTCATCAGAGGCCCCAAGGCTGAGGCTCTAGACAAGAGGCTACTCTGACAACCTGGGCCAGGATTGGTGGTAAAGTACCGTCGAGAAGGCTAGTAGAGTTAGGCTAGGGCTGGCCTTACCTGCAAGGTGTCCCGGATGGGGCCCCGGATGTCAATCACCTCACCTTGCCTGATCACACACTTGGGAAGACTGTTCAGAAATTTCTCGATGGTCAGCTTGGAACCTACAGGAAGAGCATTGGGAATCTTGGCCTGGGAAAGACTGAATGGTAGTGGAGGCCACCTTGTGTCTGTTCTGCATAGCACCCCTGCCACCAGCCTCGGCCTTGAGCCAAGCTCACCTGGGTGCTCCACCACGCTGTCCAAGGACTTGTGCATCCTTTGCTGGCCTACCACACGGCCTTCGCCTGGGAATGGGTCCAGCCCATCCTCCAGGTAAACCTGATTACGCAGGTCACTCACCTGCCAAGAAGGGAGAGAGTGGCGGGCCCAACTCTTCAGCCATTTGCTACACCCCCACCCCTGCTTGCCTAGAGGACCCAAGAACAGGCCCAAGTGGTGGTCTGATATGATCTCCATTTACAAATGAGGGAACTGAGGCCTCAGGAGAGCCACAGTTCATGTTGCTATCTCCTCTCTGAGCCTTACTCCTTCTGTAAACACTCTTGATCCATTTCAGCTGAACCCTCCTACTGACACCCTGCTCAGAGTCCCTATCTCAGGAGCCAACCATGAAGGGGGAACATGAAGGTGTCGGGAAAAGGCAAAGCTGCTGTCTAGTCTGCGGCTCAGACCCCATCACTGCAAGTCCCCTCACTTGCTCCCTCTAGGCACAGCTCTGAGGCCCCCATCTTGGCCTCAAACAGCCCCTCATGACCCATGCTATTTCCTAAGCCCTGGTGGCACAGACTCCCTCCTTGACCCAGCCTTGCCCACCTTCTGGTACATGCTGCCTCATGTGCTCCTATGGCAGTACTTACAGACTGGGTCCCTGATTCCCAACATTTGTCTCCTCTGTTCTACATTTGTGGCCCACAGTGCTGCCTTCTACCCCAACCAGATAGCTTCAGGAGCCCCTGGGGGACTCCATGCTGTCAAGGGGTCTTGAATGTGGGCAAAGGAAGAGCAGGGGCTGACGCTATGCCTTCAGGGCGCCAGCAGAGGGCACTGCCTATTGCTCAGCCTCAGCCCCTTGCCACAGCACCAAGACAGCTGTGACCATGGCAGCTCCCCCTCCCACACTGGCTTCAGGCTTACCCTCCTAGAGGGCATCAGACTCGAATCCCCTGAGGTGGAGCAGTGGCTCTCCCCTCGGGCCCTCAGGATTGGCAATGCCTGAGGAGATTGCTTATCCCCACATTCTCCCAAAATCCTCACACAGGGAAGGGGTGGTTTGAGAAGCAGCTCTTCACCTTAAAGGGGACCCCGTCGGGGTATAGCCGCTGGAGCTCTGAGGGAAAGAAGCCATCCAATATGTCTCGGAGGCAGCGCTGTGGAGAGGAGAGGAAGGGTGAAGCCCAGCTGGGACCCGGGGTGTGCTCCCCACTGCTGCCTGTCTGGATGGCAGATGCCCTGGGCCCACCCAGTGCCTCACACACTGGAAACATACACAAGTCCAGGACTGGGTGGGAGGAGGGTGCTCTGCAAGTCCTGAGTGCCCTGTGGAGGGCAGGCTGGGCCTGGGGCGAGCTGGCGGGCAGACAGGGGCATAAGAGCACCTCCACCACTGCTCCTACCTGAGTGGAGGGATCATGGAAGGGCCGGAAGGGCCCGTCAAACATCATGATGCCATTCCGGTAGAGCTTCAGAGGAATGGGCTCAAGGATATGGAGCCGTGCCCCACCAGGCACTGGCATCACCTCGGTGTCACCCTCTGCCACCAGTTCACTGAGGTCCTTTAGGCTGGCCAGTAGCTTGTCAAAATCCACCTCAGGAGGTGCCAATGATTCCCCTGGCAAAGAGGACAGACATCCATGAGCCTCTCCATGGCTGCAGGGTTCCCTAGCAGTCCTGGCTCCTATGGCTGCCTCCCAAGCTAGGCAGTGGCCTTAGTGCCTCCTCAGGTGACCACCTCGACACTAAATAATAACAATAGCTATCTTTGTTTGTTTGTTTGTTTGTTTGTTTTTTGAGACAGAGCCTCAAGCTGTCCCCCTGGGTAGTGCCATGGCATTACAGCTCACAGCAACCTCCAACTCCTGGGCTCAAGCGAGTCTCCTGCCTCCGCCTCCCAAGTAGCTGGGACCACAGGCGCCCGCCACAACGCCCGGCTATTTCTTGGTTGCAGCCGTCATTGTTGGTTGGCGGTCCGGGCTGGGGATTCCAACCTGCCACCTTAGGTGTATGTGGCTGGCGCCTTAGCCGGTTGAGCTATAGGCGCCGAGCCACAATAGCTATCTTTGAGTGCTGACTTTGTACATAGTGCTAGGGGTTTAATAGTCAATATCACATTCCCTTCTCTCACCAACCCGATACTGTAGAGGCTACCATCATCTTTACTTTCCAGATGAGGAAACTGAGGGTTAGAGAAGGTTAAATGGCTTGTCTAGGGAGGCATAACAGTAAATAGCAGAAGCAGGATTTGATCCCACATCAGGAGCTTGACCTCAGCTGTTGGTCAGCCTGGCCAACACAGTGAGACCATGTTTCAAAAAAAGAGAGAAAAACAACTACCTAGGCACGATAGTACATGCCTATAGTCCCAGCTACTCCAGAGGCTGAGGCAGGAAGAACACTTGAGGCCACGAGCTTGAGGGTATAGTCAGCCATGATTGTGCCATTGCACTCCAGCCTAGGAGAGGGAGACTGTGTCTCGAAAAAATAAAAAGGCTGTCTGGGTTCAAATCCTAGCTCCTCCTCCTATCTGTATGACTTTGACGAGTCATTTAATGCTCTGCTGCAGCACTCTCTTCTAGAATGGGATGAGCATAGTATCTGGCTCCCAGGATGGCTGGAAGGCTCTAAGAAGGTGACCATTGGACCGTTCACAGGAGGGCCATTGGGAACAAGCACTCTGTCCATTTAGCTATTGTTACAACTCTGCCTTGCACATATGGTCCTTAGGCCAACCCTGAGGCTATGAGGCAGGGGTTATTTATCTCCATTTTACACATGAGGAAACAGGCCCACAGAGATGAAAAATGACTCGCCCCAAGGCACTTGGCAAGTTAGAGAGCCTGGGATTGGAACGGGGGCTGACGCTTGAGCCTGTTTTTCCCAGAGAGTGGGGGGTCAGGGATGGGGACAGATGGCTATTAGGAAGGATGTAGGGACAGCTGCTGGACAGAACAGATATGGGACAGACTTTAGGTTGTGTGACTATTTCTGGGTCACAGACCCCTTTGAGAAGCTGACAAAGCTTTGGCCTCCTCTTCTGAAAAATGTGTTGCACATACAGCTGTGCATAAGTTCTGAGGTGTGCCGATGGGGCAGTGGGGACAGCCATGACAGATACCAGAGTGGAAAGGGTGCAGAGCAGTGGGATACTGGCTGGGGACCTGGCCCCCAAGTGAGTCAACCACACACCAGTAACTTTTGAGGTCTCCCGAAGACAGTTTTTCACCAGGACAGCCAGGCTGTCGCAGGATGTGGGTTGGAGCTCCGGGGACCCAATTCCTTTCCCCACAGTGGTATAGTGGCTGTACCAGAAAGGTACAGATGTGGGTGGCCGTTTCCAACTGCCTTTGCAGCTGTTGAAACGGTAGGCCCCAGCTGGCCTTCCCCTCTCTCCTACATCGCCTATTGTTAAAGGGACCACCCTATTTCTTCCTAAAGTCCCCCAGAGTTCCCGAGATCCCCCAGGAAAAGCTCACAGAACTATATCAAGACATTATTTTCCTTTAACTACTCCTATAAAAATAAATTGGTAAACCTAAAACTAATAGCAGAAACAATCTCATGCAGCGCCTGCCCACCCTCTTCTTGCAGATGGGAAAGTAAGGTCTAGACCTTTCTAGAAAGATCAAATCCTAGCTCCTCCTCGGGTCAGGTAAGTGGCCCAATCAGACCCAGCAGAGCGCAGCCAGAAGCCCTCAGATGTGTCAATTCCGAACTCAGTGCTCCTGCCCTGCTCCAAGCTCCCTCTTGGAGCCAAGGCTTTTTAGGATGAGGGACATAGGATGGTCTACAAGGGATGGGGCCAGGCAAAAGCTGAGAAGCAATGAAGAGAGAAGCTTGCCAAGAAGGCCCACCTGGCAGCTCTCGGCCAGCTGGACTGGACTTGAAACAAAGCAGGGTGAGCTGGACAGGCCCTGGATACCATGGGGTGGAGGTAAGACCAGGGGTTCAGGCACAGGTGGGTATGACCATTCCCATTTGGGCCTTGTAACATGTCATACCACATGAGGGACCTGGGGACTCAGCCTCAGGCCACAGTGACCACCACATTGCCCCTCAGTGCAGATTCTGGGGCAACTGCTCCCTGGGCTCCCTTTCCAGAGAGCAGACAGTGCTGGGACATCATCTCGGAGGCCTCATCCAGTTTTCAAGCCCATAAGTGTATTAAAAAGAGAAGCAGGGAGGCATGAGGTTGAGGTCATTTCCAAGTTCCTTCACCTGACTCCCAAGACCCTCCACACGCCCCTGCCCTAATGCTCTCCAGTGTCACGTTGAAGGCATGTCTGAGCCTGCAACCCTGGGGGAGGAGGCCTCTCTGGGCTTCAGCTTCCTCTTCTGTAAGGAAAGGAAAATGGCTCCCTACTTCACAGGGCTGCTGTGAGGCTCAGAGGAAGTGCCTGGCAGATGGTGGCTGTCACTGACACCTCTTACTCATTACTGGGCTCAGGCTGCTCTCCTCACTCCCACCTCCTCTGAGAAGTCTTGCCAGGAGCCCTCTCCTGGAGGTGGGGTCCCTGGAGCCCTAGGTGCCCTGGAGCCCTAGGTGCTATTTCTACGTGCTTATTTGCCTTCATCCACACGGGGCACCCCTGGGACTCAGGGCTGGGGCGTTGAGCCCTGGGCCTGGCCCAGAGTGGGTATGCTAGAAGCCTGGCTGAATCTTTCCATCCAGCAATGTCTGAGCACCAAGAGTCCTGCCCTCTTCAAGCTCAGCTTTGAGGAGGGAGACAGGGCAGCACATGGTGACAATGGCATGTGGTAAGTGCCACTATGGGGGCTGTGGAGCCCAGAGGAGAGCCAGAGGATGACCACCTGCTGCTGAAGTGCCTGCAGGCCCAGCTTCTCGCTTCTCGCTGTCAGAGGGCCACCATGCTCTGCCCCTCCCCTGTGCAGAGACTATTGCAACAGGAAATGGTATTGCCATTACCACACACCTACCAGCCAAGCCCTGCTCCGGGGACTTTACGTACATTCACTCTGCTTCTCTGAGCCAATGCAGAGAAGCTCTGAGGCTCTGACTGCTGCCAGAATACTCCACCAATCTGTGGCCTGGCAGAACTGAACTCAGGAGCACTAGGTTCTACCTGCAGCTCTTGCTGGACCCTGCCATCAAGCATTGGACTCTAGGCCCCACCTTGTCCTAGGCATACGATTGTTCTGATGTGCCCTGATCATCCAGGCCTGGCACATACACGTGGGAAACACAGCCAGTCTCATGTAGGCACATACCAGGCCTATGTGCCAAGCACTGTGCTGGGCACTCCAGGGTGTGAAAACCGCTAAGTGACAATGGTTAACAGTCACTGTTCATTGGCATATGTCAGCCACTTGCTCTGTCCCATTCCAGCTATTCAGCAGCCTGGAGAGAGTCAGTACTATTCCCCTTATTTTGTAGAGGAGGAACCAGGCTCAGAGAAATTCAGCAATTTACCTACACAGGATCCACCTGCCTCTGCCCTGTCCTCAGCCTGAGCCTTTAGCCATTAACTCTAAAGCAGAGCCCCTTCCCACAAGGCCCTGCTCCGAGGGGGCACTCAGGGCGGAGGTTGGATTTGCACAGCACTTCGGAAAGAGGGGTGAGAAGGGGGCAAGGCACAGAGCACTGGCAAAGGTTTGAGGTGGAAGTGGGAGTGGGCAGGAACTCCAACCGGGTGCTGGAGCTGGAACCTAGGAGGAAGAATGGAGGGGTGGAGGCAGGGGTGGCAGGGAAGCATGGAGGGAGGGCAGGGAAGTGGGGAGTGATGAGCTCATGGGACCTCTGAGCCCTGAGGCTCAACACCTAGCTGGTGGTGGTGCCAGCAGAGCAAGACTGTCCTTTTCAAGTCTCCGCATACCCTGAAGCAGTACCCTGTGTGATGCTCCAGATACTGGCAGAGAGGGTAGGCAGGAAAACTGATCCAGCCTGAGAATAAGCCCTTGCAAGTCGTTCCCTCTGCTGGGCCCCCTTCATGAGTCCTCCCTAAGGAAGAGTCTCAGGCTCTAGAACATTTGAGTCATCTCCCATTTGGCTCAGTACAGATGCTCTGGCTCACTCATCTGACAGTCTCTGCCCAAGTCCATGGGGAGTGGTATCCAACAAAAGGAGAGCCAGAGAAATTAGCTGGAGCATCTGGACAGCAAGGGGCCAGGCTGTGACCCTCAGGGCCCCCAGGGCAGGAGCAGGCTGGTACCTGGGGAGGAGGAAGACTCAGGAGGAACAGCTGCTAGCATTGAAAAACATGTCAGTTCATCTGACAGGAACAGCCAAATCAAGGCCCCTCTGGAATGGTTTTCCCAGGTTGCTTTAGCTGTGAAGCGTACAGCCTCAGAGCCAGCTTACTTAGAGCACAAGCAAGAAAACAGGGCAGGGTGAAGGCTGCTGACTTTTTGAGGGGTGGGAAGAGTAGGAATCCACAGGGCCAGGGCCAGAAACCAGCCATCTGATCAGAACTCCTCCCCAGAGGAGCAGGAAGGTCCTCACTGGCCAGGAGGAAGCTGCCCTGCAGTAAGACAGCAGGCCCATGTGAAGCTTGAGCCTAGCCTGCCACAGCAGGGGCCCAGGGTGTGGCACTGGCAACCCTCTGACCTACACCCACAACAGACATTCTTACAGTGTCTATAGCCACCTGACAGGGCCCCACCTCTCAGCCTGGCCAAAGGGATTTCTGGTGAACTCTTCCACAATACCCTGCGCTGGTTTAGTCAGACCACACTTGGTTGGCCTGTAGTATTCTGAGCAGCAGGGCCACACCCTACCGTCATCACTGGCAGCCACACAGCTCCCCAGCTCTGCTGTGTTCCCCTGCCCAAACAAACATTAGCGTCCTTCCACAGCCCTGCTCCCTAGGCCAGCCCTGACTCCTCCCATCCTCTCCCTCACGTACAACCAAGGCCATGGATTGCACCTTCTCAATCTCTCTGCCTTGTCCCTTCCTGCCACTCTCACCAGCGTCACTGGCATGCTGAGCATCATCTCTTCTTTGGCCTGGATGACTGCAACCCCTCACAGATGGGCTCTCAGCCTTAAGTCTTACCTTCTCCACCCAACAGAGTCTCCAGACTCTGTAAGGGCTTCAGTTTGCCCATCTGTAAGGAATAACCCCTGGCCCGGGTCAGAGCTATTTATACAAATGCCTTGAAAGCTGCAAATGTTACAAAAATGGGAAGTGATGTTTTTCAAATAAGCAGTGAGTGGGGTGTACTCTGAGATTCAGAGACCAAGCCCAGGCCTAAATGGGAGGTAGGACTCTCACGTCCCGACTTTACCTAGCAGGAAATGTGAAATCAGCAGAGGCTTATTGTCTTCCAAATGGTCCCCTTGAGAGCCTTCAGACTCTGGAAACAATATGAGCTCCTGCTTGTTGAACCAATGGCACGCAAGGCCAATGCTACTCTGTGTTGAACTCATTTGGCACATTTAGTAATGATTGTGAGGGGAAGAGTATAACCCCCATTCTATAGAAAAACTTGAGGCTCAGAGAATGTTAGTTGCTTGCCTAAGTCACACCTAGAATAGGTAGTAGAGTCAAGATGAGAACTCAGGGCCAGCACAGTGGCTCATGCGTATAATCCTAGCCCTCTGGGAGGCCAAGGCAAGTGGATTGCTTGAACTCACGAGTTCGAGACCAGCCTGAGCAATAGTGAGACTCCATCTCTACTAAAAATAAAAAAAACTGTGGCAAGAGCATTGCTTGAGCCCAAGAGTTTGAGGTTGGCACTGTACCCAAAGGGAGACAGTTTGCAACTCTGTCTCAAAAAAAAAGAACTCAGGTTTAGCTGATTCCAGAGCCTGGAACATTATCTTCTAGTTAACAACCTCCATTCTTTGAAGAGAATGGATCCAGATCTCAGAAACGGCCAGTTTTATGGACTCAAATCCAAGAAAGAAAGGGGTTTGGGGGCATCCCTCTAGATATTAGCTATTGAATTAAAAATAAGAAATGGGGGCTGGCAGCGCCCATAGCTCAATGGGAGGGCACTGGCCACATACACCAAGGCTGGCGTGTTCAAACCCAGCCTGGGCTTGCTAAAACAACAATGACAACTGCAACCAAAAAATAGCCAGGCGTTGTGGCAGGCGCCTGTAGTCCCAGCTACTTGGGAGGCTGAGGCAGGAGAATCGCTGAAGCCCAGGAGTCTAAGGTTGCTGTGAGCTGTGAGGCCATAGCACTCTACGGGACGTGACATAGTGAGACTCTATCTCAAAAAAAAAATAAAAATAAAGATGTGGGGGGGCTTCTGTAGCTGAATGGTTGAGCGCCAGCCCTGTGCACCAGAGGTGGTGGGTTCAAACCTGGCCTGGGCCTGTTAAACAAACAAAAGAAAAGAAGTGGTGGCTTTCAGTGGTCATAAATGAATCTGGAAAGGGAGTCCAAGAAGGGGACCAAGCCTTGGGAATTAAGGAGTGGCTTCTAGAACAGAATGCTTCTTCAAGGCAACAGCTTCTAGATGGGTGACATTTTGTAGACTATGGAGTCTGAGGCAAATGAGGTCTTGCTGCATTTTATATCTCTGGGCCTTTTGGAGCCTTTCACAGATGAGCAAGATAGAGCAAGAGAGTCCCAGGGGAGACCAGGGAAGGAACTTGCCAGCAGGTGAAGGGGGTCAGTGATAAAGGCTGAGGCACCTCCTCCACTGGGTCAGAGGCAAGGCATGTGTGGTCTCAGGCACCTTTCACACTGGGAGGCTGGGGCATGAATGATAATGGGCCTCTGGAAGGCTACTGGCTAACAGGAAGCTTCTGGAGAATTCCCCCTGCCAAGGGGTCTGGGGTGGACTCTCTATTCTACCTGGCTTCCAGAACTTCTTGGCAGTCATCCAGTCCCTTTCACCATCTTCAGGGACTGCCTTGCCCTCTGAGTCCTCCTGGTCCATGGGCTCGCCCACCCACTGCAGGCCGTAGTCACTGAGGAACCGCTGTAGGGAAGAAGAGGGAGATCCAGGGGCAATGCCAGCTTATCCCCTTCCCAAGGTTAGGCCGTTGCAGCCCAATCCTCAGCCCTCAGGCACCTAGAGCCCCAGAGCCAACTGGACAAAGGAGATAGAGCATCCTGCCCACTTCCTGGGTGTGGCCTTGAAAGCCACTTCAACTCCTAGAGCCTCAGGCTCCTCTGTAAAAAGGAAATGGCAGCACCTGACCACTTAATCTTGTGAGGACTCAGTAAAATGATCTCTGTCAAGTACTTAGCACAGTGCCTGACACAAATAAGAACTCAATAAAGTTAGACACTCTGGGAGTCAGGTGCAACAGCTCAGGAGGCCAAGGAAGAAGGTTTGAGACCAGCCTGGGCAACATAGCAACCTCTTATCTCCAAATAAATAATTTTTTTTTTCTTTTTGAGACAGAATCTCAGTCTGTTGCCCAGGATAAAGAGTCATGGCATCAACCTAGCTCACAGCAACCTCAAATTTCTGGGTTTAAGTGACCCACCTGCCTCAGCTGCCCAAGTAGCTAGAACAACAGGCACCTGCCATGATGCCCAGATAATTTTTCTGTTTTATTTATTTATCTATTTATTTTATTTTAATTTAGACAGAGTCTCACTCTGTCACCCTGCGTAAACTGCTGTGGCATCATAGCTCAAACTCGTAGGCTCAAGCAATCCTCTTGCCTTAGCCTCAAAAGTAGCTGGGACTATAGACACCCACCACAAACCCTGGCTATTTTTTAGAGACAGGGTCTTACTCTTGCTAAGGCTGGAATTTTTCTATTTTTAGTAGAGACAGGGTCTCAACTCTTACTCAGGCTGGTCTAGAACTCCTGAGCTCAAGGGATCCTCCTGCCTCAGCATCCCAGAGTGCTAAGATTACAGGTGTGAGCCCCTGTGCCCAGGCTAAATAAATAAATTTTAAAAGTTAGCCAGGGCCTGGCATGGTGGCTCACATCTGTGACCTCAGCATTCTGGGAAGCTGAAGTAGGACAATTACTTGAGTTACAAGTCTAAGACAAGCCTAACAAGAGCCAGCCCCATCTCTACTAAAAACAGAAAAACTAGGCATTGTAGTGGGTACCTATAGTCCCAGCTACTCAGGAGGCTGAGGTAGGAGGATCACTGAACCCCAGGAGACTAAGGTTACTGTGAGCTAGGCTGATGCCAGGGCATTTTTTTTTTTTTTTGAGACAGTCTCACTCAGTGTCCCTGAGTAGAGTATTATGGTGTCATAGCTCATAGCAATCTCAAATTCTTGGACTCAAGCAATCCACTTGCCTCAGCCTCTAGAGTAGCTAGGACTACAGGCACCCACATAAACACCTGGCTAGACTGGGCACCTGTAGCTCAGTGGTTAGGGCGCCAGCCACATGCACGGGGGCTGGTGGGTTCGAACCTGGCCTTGGGGCTGCTAAAACAAAAAAAATAGCCAGGCATTGTGGCGGGCGCCTATAGTCCCAGCTACTAGGGAGGCTGAGGCAAGAGGATTGCTTGAGCCCAAGAGTTTGAGGTTGCTGTGAGCTATGATGCCACTGCACTCTACCAAGAGTAACAAAGTGAAACTCTGTTTCAATTTAAAAAAAGAAGAAGAAAAGAAAACACTTGGCTAATTTTTTCCATTTTTGGTAGAGACAGGATTTCACCCATGCTCAAGCTGATCTTGAATTTCTGAGCTCAAGCAATCTACCCACCTCGACCTCCCAGACTGCTAGGATTACAGGCATGAGCCACTTCCCCCAGCCACCATGGCACTGTTGCCTGGGCAAAAGGGTGAGACTCTGTTTCCAAAAAACAAAAGAAAAAATTAGCTGGGTGTGGTGGTGTGCCTGTAGTCTCAGATACTTTGGGAGCTGATGCAAGAGAGTCACTTGACCAACATGAGCTAAAGTGAGACCCTGTCTCTACTAACAGTAGAAGAACTAGCCGGGCATTGTGGCTAGTGCCTGTAGTTCTAGCTCCTCGGGAGGCTGAGACAAGAGGATTGCTTAAGCCCAAGACCTTGAGGTTGCTGTGAGCTATGATGCTATGGTGTTCAATCCCAGGGTGACTGAGTGAGATTCTGTCTCAAAAAAAAAAGGAGGGGGGGTTACTTGATACTAGGAGTTCAAGGTTGCAATGAGCTATAATCATCGCACTCCAGCCTGGGCAACAAAGAGACCCTCATCTCAAAAAAAAAAAAAAAAAATTGGCTGGGTGCAGTGGCTCACACCTGTAATCCTAACACTCTGGGAGGACAAAGTGGGAGGACTGATTGAGGCCAGGAATTTGAGAACAGCCTGAGCAAGAGCAAGACCACATCTTTTTTTTTTTTTGAGACAGAGCCTCAAGCTGTCCCCCTGGGTAGAGTGC